GACTTAAAACATTTACTGATGAAGATCAAAGAGCACAGACGTCGGTATGGATTGCATCTCAATGTCAAGAAAAGAAAAATCCTCACCACTGGTCCAATAAACAACATTTGTATTAACGGAGAGAAAAGATTGAAGTTGTCAAGGACTTCATTCTTCTTGGATCAACTATCCACACTCAAGGAAGCAGCAGTCAAGAAATCAAATGATGTACTGCATTAGGAAAATCTGCTGCACAAGACCTTTTTAAAGTGTTGAAGAGCAAAGATGTTAGCTTGATGACTAAGGTGCGCCTGACCCAAGCTATGGTATTTTCAATAACCTCATATGCATGTGAAAGCTGGACATTGAATAAGGGAGACCATAGAAAAAGTGATGCTTTTGAGTTATGGTGTTGGAGGAGAATATTAAAAGTGCCATGGGTTGCCAAAAGAACCAACAGATCTGTTTTAGAAGAGAGTTCATCCAGAGTGCTCCTTAGAGGACAAGATGGCCAAACTTCGTCTCTCATACTTTGGACATATTTTCAGGAGGGACCAGTCACTGGAGAAGGATATCATCTTTTGTAAGGTGGAAGGTCAGAGAAATAGAGGAAGACCCGAATGAGATGGATTGGCCAAGTGGCAGCATCGATGGACTCAAGTGTGGCAACAATAGTGAGGTTGGCTGAGGATTGGGCAGTGTTTCATTCTGCTGTGCATAAGCTTGCTATGGGTCGGAACCGACTCTACAGCACTTAACAACACACAACAATGGCTAGTGATCACGAGCATTTCTTCATATGTTTGTTGGCTGCCTGGATCTCCTCATTGGTGAAGTGTCTGTTCATGTCCTGTGCCCATTTTTTAATTGGGTTATTTGTCTTTTTCTTGTATATGTGTTGTAGTTTCCTATGTTTTAGAAATGAGTTCCTTGTCTGATGTATCATTGCAAAAGAGTTTTTACCTTTCTGTGGTTTCCCTTTTTACTCTTCTTGTGAAGTCTTTTGATGCACCTAAGTTTTTAATTTTTAGTATGTCCCAATCATCTATTTTGTCTACTTTTGTTTGTGTAGTTTTCAAAATGTTTGGTAGTCTGTGTATTCCCTGAATTAGTGACCTCACATTTGTCCCTATTTTTTCATTGATGGCCCTTATAATTCTGGGATTCACATTTAGGTCTTTAATCCATGTTGAGTTGGTTTTTGTATAAGGTGTGAGATGAAGGTCTTGTTTCAATCTTTTGCATATTGCTTTCCAGTTCTTCCAGCACCATCTGTTGAAGAGACTATCACCTCCCCATGCATTATATTTAGACGTTTTGCCAAAAATCAGTTGGCTGTATGTAGATGGGTTAATTTCTGAATTCTCGATTCTGTTCCATTGATCTATGTATCTTTCACTGTACCAGTACCAACCTGTAGCCATGTAGTAAATTTTGAAGTCAGGAAGTGTGAGGTTTCTCACTTTATTCTTTTTCTTAAACAGTACTTTCCTTATCCTGGATCTCTTTCCTTTCCATATAAAGTTTGTAATTGTTTTTTCCATCTCTTTGAAGAATGTTGTTAGAATCTGGATTGGGATTGCATTATATGTGTAAATTGCTCTGGGCGATACTGACATTTTCACAATGTTATTTCCTCCTATCCAGAGCATGGTACATTCTTCTATTTTTGTAGGTCTCTTTTGGTTTCTTGTAGTAGTGTTTTGTAGTTTTGTTTGTATAAGTCCTTTGTTTCTCGGGTTACATTTATTCCTAGATAGTTCATCCTTTGGGTGGCTACTGTAAATGGTATTGCTTTCTTAATGTCAACATGTCGTTTTTGGTATAGAGGAATCCAACTATTTTGTATGTTGATCTTATATCCTGCCACTTTGCTGAATCTTCCAATGAGGTCTAGTAGCTTTTT